CTCTCTCTCTCTCTCTCTCTCTCTCTCTCTCTCTCTCTCTCTCTCTCTCTCTCTTGCTCATGATCCGCCATCCCGCTTCCCTTCTCTCTCTCTCTCTCACACACACACACACACAGCAAGGGGCCAAAACACAAAGACGACCTGGGCCACTAGGGGTAAAACGAAAATACATAGGGCCTGGGAAAAGTTGGCAAGTACGGGGACAATTTGCAAACAGGGACAGTACCCAGTAGGGGTATTTTGCGGAGATGACAAGTTCAACCGACGCCATGGGCAGAAAGGTATTCTGCTCTACCTAAATCTTTTAGGGACATTTTGGCATATATCTCAACTTATAGGGGTATTTCGCAAATTAACCCAAAAATATATGGCATTTTTTGAAAAAAAACAAGAAAAAAGCTAACCTACACGGTCATACCAAAACTTTTGACCCCTAAATCCAAATCCAGTGGCCTAGCTCAGTTGGTTAGGCACGCAAGTGGCATTCAGGAGGTTGTGAGTTCGAGCCCCACAATCACCTGTGGCGCACTTAGTGCCAACCAGTGGTGATAGTCCGCTTGATACCTCTGGTCGGTATTAGCTGGGTCCTTGGCCAACACGGGTGTGATTGTGATTGTGAGTGTGAGTGGGTTGTGTGTGGTGTGTGGTGTGTGGGAGAGTGTTGGCCTTAGACACTGCTGTTATTCGGTTGGGGTTGGGGGACGATGAAGAGGGAGGCGCAACTACTGGCAAAATGCTCGGTCTTTGCATTAGCCGGACCCCCACCGGCGCTCCCACCCCATCCCTGACCACCATGGTTGGGGCGGGGGGCAACATGTATCCTCTTTGATGGGTGGAGGGAGACAACAAAGCTATGTTTGCAGGGGTGCCCTTTATAAGCCTTAGGAGTAGTGGTAGGCAGGTAGCGAAGGTGAATTGAGAGAATTTTCTTTAACTCATCGGGGGACAGCCATATATTTTTCCCTCACCTCACATATCTTTCTCTAACTGGCGTTCTGCCATGTCATGGAACATATCTTTCTTTTCATTGCCTACCACTACTCCTAAGGCTATACAGGGGACCGCTGCAAGCATAGCTTTCTGCCTCTCTTCGGTGAAGGGAGGTTACCTCTCTCGGTGGAGAGGGGTAACGGCATGTTTGCCCCTTTGCCCTAGCGTTTTAGGGTGCAGGGTTGGGGCCGCCGGTGGGGCCCGTCTAACACAAGGACCGAGCATTTGCCAGTAACTGTGCCTCCCTTTTCATCTTCCCCCACCCCCATCGAGTAACAGCGGTGTCTAAAGCCAACACTCTCCCACACACCACACTCAACCCACTCACACACGCACTCACACCCGTGTTGGGTGAAGACTTTACTGATACCGGCTGGGAGGATCCAGCTGACTATCTCAGTTGGTTGGCACCAAGAGTGCTACAGGCGGCAACCAATTGAGCTAGGCCGCTGGATTGAAAGAATTTGAAAGATGATGAAACGTTTGAGAGAAGAATATAGCGTAGTATAAAACAAAAACTTCGACCCCTACATGCCCTATTTTGCAGTGGTGACATGCCGTATTTTGCAGTGGTGCTCCACTGGGAGGAGGTCCAGCTGATTATCTCAGTTGGTTGGCACCAAGAGTGCTACAGGCGGCTTCGGGGATTGAACCCACGACCTCCTGAATGCCCCTTGCGTGCCTAACCAATTGAGCTAGGCCGCTGGATTGAAAGAATTTGAAAGATGATGAAACGTTTGAGAGAAGAATATAGCGTAGTATAAAACAAAAAACTTCGACCCCTACATGCCCTATTTTGCAGTGGTGGTCCACGGCACCTTGACACAAACGCCGGCCACAGCCCTGAGGGCTGCGAACTGAGAGACCGAGACAGAAGGCCGCCGGGAAACATGAGCAGTGCGCTGCTCGAGATTGATGCTCGGAGTCGCCAAAGGGCGACACTCCGTTTTCCGTCGGAGGAGCGGTGAACAGCTCCGCGCGAAAGAGGTAAAGCCGCGATCTTATCCTTTCTCCTCTTCCTCGTCGTCGTCCTTCTCCTTCTCCCTTTGCCTCGGACTCTCCATCTTTAGGGGCGCGATACCCGTCTTCACCTGCTTTAACCCCGTTCTCTTTCGCCATGGCGACCTTCCTTGGCGCTCAACTTTCCTCGCCAGCATCTTTGAGATTTTAAATTCCGGCTGCTTCAGCTCCCGTCGTTGGGCATTCCCCCGCCCTGCTCCCGTGCGTGCTATTGTTTTCTATCTCACTCAAGTATATCGTTGGTTGTGTCCAGACGAGCAGCTTATGCCAATTTGTTGATTTCTATTTGTGTTACCCAGAGACAAAGGCGCACGCACACACACACTCACACATACCAACAAAAGAGAGATCGAGAGAGAGAGATCGATATGGGTTCAGCCTCCTGATGAGTCGGTGAAACTCCGACGAAACAGTTTGTCACAGCCCCTCGTTTGTTGTCTTCTTCTCTCTCTCTGCCTACGGTTTACCGGGCAGTTCTGTTTGTGACGATATATATA